CACACACACACACACACAAAAAGGGGTCCTGGCCGGCGGAGGGATACGGCGCCGTCGTCATTTCCTTCGTCCCTCCGAGCGGCGCGCGGATTGGCCAGCGCGCGTGACGTCACCGGCGGACGGGCTCGCCCCGACCCTGCCTGGTTCAAGTTTGTCTGAGGCAGGCGGTGGTGAGGGGATTTGGAGGGAATCCTCCTCCCGGAGGGCCCCCCGGGGTTTCCTGAGGAAAATTCTCCTCAGGAGGAGGCGAGGCGCCGGCCAGGTGGAAGGCTCGACGCCCCTCCGGCCCGGGAGGAGGCGTGGGCGCCTAGGCCCCACCGCTTCCCAAATGTCATTGTGGCAGCCCCTCCTGAATCCCTCCACATCTCTGACTCGTGTTTTTTCTCCCTTCCACAGATGGGGAGATTCTGGACGTGTGGTTCGGCTCTCTCCGGGTGGACACGGACACGGAGGGTCACGCCATCCAAGCAGGCCGCACTCCACCGACACACGCCAGAAGCCGTCCAAATGTGTCTTAACATTGTGACGGAAGATGTGCACCTAATATGTCATATTCTATTAAACTTATGGCTCTATGAGGCTGTTACACCAAGGCTAATTTTGTCTGTGGTTTTTCTTCCGTGAGATACGTTGACCGCGCAACACCTTAATGTGATAGGGCCTATCCTGCCTTCACGTTCGCTTGGCGTCGACAAGATGATCTAAAACCATAATGTAGTGAGATAGGATAACAGTTAAGAAAAACACCATCATGAGAAAAATAATGCCAATTAAAAACTGAATTCCAAACACGGTGCCAAGGAACAAACCGTGTCATCCCCGGAAGGCCTGGAAAGCATGAATTCTTGGATTTCTTCCTCAGCTCCAAGAGAAGCAAATTTCAAAGAGGAAGGCATCCCAAATGGTAGACAGCCAGAAGAAAAAGCCCAGGGCTTTTGCACTTTAATCGTAACAAGGTAGAACGACAGGGCATCTCTCTTTGGATAAATAACTGGAATAGACCAAAGCTTTGAAAATCATTAGAGACTGAGAGAGCTGTAAGCCTCTTGGCGTACTAAACATGAAACAATCTTGCACTGTGATCATTTAATTAAACATTTATGTATTTTCTCATCTTCACCAGTAACTCCAAAGCTTTCACCAGAAGTGGCAGAGGAATACCTAATTGTGCCTAATGACAGGGCCGGATACGGAAGTTGAGATATATACCATCTATATAGACGTACACGTGCAGAGGCTGTCTTCTGGGATTCTTTCTCTGAAATTAGGCTTATAGTTTTTAAAGACACTGAACCCAGCTATGCTGCACCTTTAGCAAGGACGTTCAGTGTAAAACTGGAGATGCATAGTAAGATGTACTGGCTTAATGCTCCTTTCTCCAAATTATTTTATGACATGCTGTCATTAGAGGCATTCTGCTGTAACAGATTCCTTTTCTTTAGGAAATTAAAGATTGTAACTTGGCCTACTAATTCTTGCTATTCTGGATATCATAAATGTTTAAAAATCAGATTTTCCAGCATATTTTGATCATAAGCTACATATGAATAATGCTTGGTTTTCTAGTAAAGCATCTGATGCAGGACTTGGATTGACGGAGGTGGTATTGTTAAGATTTGATCCAAACTTTAAAAGCTGTGCCAGCTAGCCACAGAAAATCGTATTATTTATATTGACTGTAAAGAGTTTTAGCTCATTATGAAAATGATACTATATTGCAAACTGCTTTAGAAAAAATAAACCACTAAAAAGTTACACTTCATACTGTTAAAGTAAATGCGTTTAAAGTCTGTTTAAATTTAGTTTCAAAGTTCTGTCACATTTTAGTATGTGACCACCGGAATCCAAGAGAGGAATACAGAGTCAGGACCATGCAAAGTGAAACAAATTTCATTTTTAATGGATGGCATTGCGCAAACTCCCCATGCATTTGGACCAATTTTCTTTTGAAGTATTTTAACTAATAAACAGAGTAACATATTAGAATTAAATATACTAGGATTTCAATACCCTGTTAAGGAGAATGTATCTCATCCACAATCATATAATATTTATTTTCTTTCTTCAAAGGCTACCCATTATTGAAATTCAGGACAATGTACAGTTTTAATACATATTTGATTTTATCATTTTAATTCTTAATTTGTAAATCATCCTGAGCTCTGAGCGGCAAAAATCACGATGAGAAGAGTTTTCTTTCCATTAAGGCTGCAATGGATGCCAAATTACTCTTAAATCTCATTGAGCTCACGAAGCATGCTTTTGAATGCGCGCAAATAAAATCAGGTAAGAAATATATTAAAATGCTTCCTGTAGTTCTTTGATAATTAAAAAGTTGATACAACTCCTAATGAATCTATAATTATTTAGATTAATAACCTGTTCTTTAAAGCTTTGGCAAGATACATTTTCCAAAACTGTATGTTATCCATCTATTTCTCTGCAACCTTTTGGGGTAAGCCTTTCATAATGAGGCTTACAATTAAAATATTAAAACCAAAGTATGATACACAAAACATCAGATCAGATCATAAATGGGGAGAGCAAAGAACACAATAAAGAGCTTGGAAGTTGAACAGTCTTTGATTCTACTAATGGAAGGTCACAACCTTTAGCATACATTAAATAAGTTAACATATAGTAAAATACATTTTATTGTATTTCTTGTACGTTATCCTTGGACTGGAGAGATGGAGAGCTCAATATCCATCCACCAACAAATAGGAGACGATTATTGTCATCTACTCACCAGCATAAGTAAATCATTCAGGTGCATTTAAATGCCCATCTATTGTTCTCTAAATTCTTATGGCCTTCTGTAACTGGTCTCACTCCCTCTCTCTTTAAACTTTCTTCCACTCCAGTTCCCTCATGTGTCTTTTTTTAACCTATAGCTTGAAGGAAGGGTCATCTCTTTTTTTCAGTTGATGTGAATTTCTTTAGAAGACTGTAGATGTCTGAAAAACAGGACAAAAATCCTAAAATGTAATTACATGCAATGTGTAGCTGTGCATTCTTGGCAATATAACATCTGCTAAAAGTAAATGGTTATCTCCAGGACACACTTTGGGTTTTCTGTAATATTTGGTCTTTGGTGAACCGCAAAAGGAATGGAACTGTAGAAGCAAAGAACCACTCCGAATATTTTCCTAGTGACAAGGCTGTCAACCCAGACGGAACTTGACCATTTCTGTTTGATTGTAGAGATTAGCATAGAAGGGTTCGTTTCTAGTTAACAGTTTTGGGGTGGAGGAAAATCAGTATAATATATTTGTGGGGTTGTCAGCATATACAGTGAAAATTACACACACTTAATCTTCACAAAATGGTCTGAAGCAGGTTTGCTTCGGTTGAACAATTCATAATTATTAGAGCAGAAAAGAGGAACGTTTTCAAAACTCAAAAGGGTGCTGAAATCTGCTAATGACATTAAAAATTGTGATCTGCAACGTTAACATTTGCCATGAAAAGAATATAGTCCCTGCAAGATTTTACAAACGGAATAGAAAAAGAAGAATACACTCGGAACTGAGCAAAACTGACCAGTTAATCTTATTAAATAAAATTAAATAAAACTGACCAGTCTTATTAAATGTTTGCTTATTTGGGCTTTAATTAACAGTAGCAAGAGAAGAAAGGCATCGTTCCCAAGGGCGCTTTCAGCGAAAGAGGCACAAGAACGTCTCCAAAGTCCACCCGCTGTTGCTTGACAGGAAAGCAAATGAGTTGCCAGCTCTCAGCTGCTTGCCAGCTTGAAAGCTATATTTGAGTCAAGCCAGTGCTGGGCACTGACACACATTTTGAAATGCCACCTCCAGCTAAGAGTTTTCCTTCCTTTCTTTGCACCTCTGGCTCAAAGCAGAGGACGATTTTCTGCCTGGTGGAGCTAAAAGACGAGGCAGCCAACTATTTATCATTCAAGGAAGAGACAAGAACAAGCAGCTTACGGAATAGGGGAAACCACTGGATTTTGCACTGAAAATGGAACCCTCCCCATCTGGAATTGCTCAGCAGTTTCCAATAGTCCTCCTCCCAACACGCCTCTTCTCCACCCACTGAAATAGAGAGATATATGTTCCTCCGGAAAACTCCTGCCTTTGGTCTGGACGATCCTCGCTTGTCAGAATTCTTTGGAGGGAAGAGAGCAGGAATAAACCACGTCCACCACCATGGGTAAGCCAAAACAAGACGGAGACCACTTGCTTTTACTCAGCCCGCAGAAACCGCCATGCTTTGTCCAGGGTGTTCTGTGTAGTTCAGCCTTTCTCAATCCTTTGCTCAGGAACAGATGATGGGAATTGTAGGCAAAACTTCTGCAGGTTGGGGGAAAGCCAGTGATGCAGTTTTAAGTGTAAGTGGCTTGACAGGAGATTAATTATCCGCTTTTTAGAGTAACACCTGACTGAGCCTAGAGGGCTTCTGAGATACAAGGCGTCAATGAGATTTCAGAACTTCTGTTCTTTTAACAGCATTTCTTTCTTAGAGGGTTTTGTTCTAGACAAAGTCTCTAAAAATCCCAATTGCTTAGAAAATCTGTTCTTATGGCAACAGTAGCCCAATACCCCATGTGCATTTACTTCCAAAGTTGCGTGTTTAAGATTCGGCGCTTTGCAACATGGAAGGAAATACCTCGGCTTTGTACTTATGATCAGGTTTTTGCCCTGCCTGACTCTCTGCATGTATGCTTGGAAGAAAGCCCCCATTCTCTTTGATAGGCATTTCTGCTTCGCTCAGATTACACCTTAAACTGATTTATCCGCATTTTGGCATGTCTTTTTTTCTTTACTTCTCATTTCTTGCGTCCTCTAGAATCTCCCAACCAGTGTTGGGATCCTCATAAGGACAGGACTTCTATCACTTCAGCAATGTCTGGGTGATACTAGGAGGACAAAGTCACTAGTGGGGAAATGTGCCCAAAGTGCCTCCAAATGCTTTGGATTTTATTCCCTCTTAGCTGGGGTCAAGCGCCTCTGCAGGGTAGGAGAGCGGAAGAAGCTGGTCTAAAGAACAGCTCTGAAAGTACGAAAAAAAGTATTGTTTTGCAATTCTGTCTTTCCCTCTTATTAGACCGCTTTTTGTATTAGGAAATGAACTGGAAGAAGAAAGCAGGAAACCACAAGAAGATTAGAAATGGAAGAGAACATTAGGTGCCCCTCCCAGTCCCCCCTCCCTCATATGAATGAGGAACGGCAACTGTGCCAAAAAAGGTCTTACGTGGAAACACCCAGCAAGATTGGCTTTTGAATAAATACGCATAAGATTATGCTGTTTATATAAGCCTATAGTAAAGAGAAATCAGCATTCAAGCTGAGAGTTGTAGAGAGTATAAAGGTGAAAAAAAAGGACTTGTTTGAAGTACCAATCTATAGAGGGAGTAAACTGTGTCATCTCTACTCAGCCATGCAGTTAACTAGGTGACCTTAGGTCTATCAGTCCCTATCAGCCTGAGCAACCTCACAGGGTTCTTATGAGGAGAAAAGGAACAATCAAAGAATTGAAAATCACCCCTGGTGTCATTCATACATGACCCTCCAGATGTTGCTGAACAATTCAAATTAAACGTGTGCCTTCAAGTCAGTCTTGGCATCTGACAACTACCTAGAGAAGTCCCTGCGGTTTTCTTGGCAAGATTTTCAGAAAGGGTTTTGCCATTTCCTTCTTCCTAGGACTGAGAAAGAGTGACTGGCCCCAAATCCCCCAGCTGGCTTCATGCCTAAGGCAGGACTAGAACTCACAGCCTCCTGATTTCCAGCCTGGTTCTTTAAACCACTTCACCAATGTGGCTGTCTTGCTGAACAATGACCCTACGTTAGTTTTATTTTATGCGTCTAACTTTCTGAACCTTGATTTTCTTTTAATTTTGTTAGCTGGCTTGAGAACTTGCTTAGTAAAAAGTTGGTGTATAAACTGAATAAATAAAATAATCTAAAGCTGAGCAGATGGGCAAGCTAACTTTGACATGTCCTTTAACAGCAAGAAAGCATTTGTTAATGAATTTAAACAGGGAGAAATTGGAGAGAAGTTGACTATATACTTCTGGTGTTCCTAATATGGCCAAGATGGGTAGAATTTGGGTTTCCAAAGAACAAAATATATTAGCCTATTGCAGCAAAACCAACCAGGCACCTGTAAGATGAACTAATTCAATTTATGGACTGGAATCCATTTGACCAAGATATAAGTACAGATGTATGGCAGTCAGTAACCAAAACATATAATGGATATATAATCATATATCAGAAAGGGACAGTTCCTTTGATCCTTTCAGCTTCCATCCAACCCACATAAAAATATCCATTCTCTATAGCCAAACTCTAACATACGATATTTGTTTGCATCTCTTGGACAGAGTCACAACTGAAGGTTTTAAGATGGCATTTTTCCAACTCTGATATCCACCCAATCAAGTCAAATAAGCCAATTAATATGGCTAGTTTTATTGCAAGATAGACTCAGGAGACCTGCTGTAACTCGGTTCCCAGAGGAAATTATCGCCAGTATCTATATATCTCACATAAGCTTTGATTAGGAAGTCTCTTCCTTATAAACCATCCAATTTAAAACCATATCTTATCAAATTACAAAAATACAGACATAGGATGCAAAGTCTGTAGTAAACTCGGATGCCAACTGTCTTCCGGTTACTCTAATGATGGCTGGGTTTATACATGGTTTGCTTTAATCATAGTTTGTGCCATAAATCTTAATGGACTGGGTTTGCACATGCTAAGCCAAAGCCCAATAAATCACATGCTATCTTAGCCTGATGAATTGTAACTCCAGCTGATAATGTCATGAGGATATCTCTGATTGTGACTTCTCCATCCATCCTCAACTGAGATTCCTTTTGGTTTATGGCTACCATAAGGCCATCTGATGCTCATAACTTTCTCTTTGTCTCTGATTTAATGTGTTACCTATTAAATCAAACAGGCTGGTCTGGCAAATGACAGCTGTGTTGCTCTGTTGCAACAGAAGCAACAAAAAAAAGTGTGTAAAAGTCCTAACTAGTTAGATGAAAGCTGCCTGCTGGGTTTTGCAATAGGGGAGGACCTATCCCTGATCTGTCGGTGTGCAAAGATACAGCAGACAATGCAAGATGAAGAAACTGGTGAGGTAAAGAGGTGTGGCAAAATTTGGGACTCAATGTTCAGGCTCAAGACTGGGGTAAGAGGCAGTTTCTCCATTGGGTCAAAAGTGACCACCTTCACAGGGTCGTCGCAAGAAGTAGAGGCTTGCTGGGAATTTAGGGAGTCCAGAAGACATCTCGTTGAGGAAAGAACATCTTCAATCGTTCTGCAATTATCCACCACATGTTCTCTGGGGCCGGTTCCATCACTTGCGTGACAACAGCAGCAACTGGGCAGAAGCTCAAGAAAGCTTATGAGACATTCTTCCCATTCTAACGCCTGAAAATAAAATTTATGACAAGGAAGAGTTCAACAGTGCATGACTATGCTCTCAAAAACGAAAGCATCTGGTGCCAAAATTCTGATGCTAAGCCCAGGGCCAGAATCTTTCTTTGAGGAAGCCAAATGAGTCGGCTCAAAAGCTCCCGCTGAAATTGCTCCTCCCTGCTGCTTCCCCTCTATCTGTTGACGCGCAGCTAGCGTTAACCATGGGAAAGGCACGTGTGTCTCAGCTGTGAGTGCTGGGCCCAACTGACCCACGTTTCCCCAACCCAGCCACACAGAGGACTGCATCTTCCCCACCCTGGTTAACCCCAAAGTCTCTGGGAAGCCCGCAGGAGCCAATGCCAGGGAGCATCAGAAGAGCCCAAAGGCTTCTCCTGCTCTGCAATGACTGGTAGGCTGTTCCTGAACCTGGAGGTTTCTCTGGGAGGACTGACTTCAAGGCATTTACCATGACTGCAGGAACAGAGTGGATTTCCAGCCTCAGCAGCATTTCACATCCACACTCACCAACTCCAGCCCTAGTCATGGCATGTCTCAATATGGCTTATACGTTTGGCCCTAGCCGTGCAAATGTTGCAGCCCTGCACTAGCTGAACCGGTGTGATCCCTGATAAATAAAAGTAACGATTTCATTGGCGAAAGGGTTGGGCAGGAAATAAAGATAACACTGAAGTAATTGCATTTTAGCCTACCTATCACTGGGGTTCTTGAGCTTATCAGTTCTGTGGCCTGCCACTGGGCAAACAGAAGTGCTGTCCTGCATTTGACTCCTAATGAATACTTTGGTCCTCTTAAACGCAAGAACTCAAACTGAGCCAAGCAGGCCTGAAGAAAACAAATTTCATTCTGCGTCAAACTGAGGAATGTTCAGTACGAGCTATGTCAGCTTAAAAGAAAAAGTGCATGCTATCGAATTGCCTTAATGGCAATTAATTACTTCAAGAATTAGTTCTTTCGCACATGTGGCCCTGTGCCCCACTTGGCTCGCCTGTTCATCCTTCTGAGGTTTCAGCAGAAACTGGGAAGGATATCCTTGCAGTCATGAGCGCTAGCAACTTTTGATTTTAACATCTAAGACTCGCAGGACGCTGAATTCAGGCCTAGAATTCAGACAGAATCCCCCTATCTGAAGCTACTGAGGAATTTATTGGAAAGCCTGTGATGAAACTGATAGTATTTCAAACACATAAGTGGAGCCGATTTGGTTCCATCACCGTCTTCCGTGTATTTTTAACCTTCTTCTTGTCCCTTCTGAATTGCAGCAAAATGTGGAGACTGTGGCCCCGGATACAAAACCCCACTGGATGCAATGAAAGGTGAGGGAATGCTTCGGGAGTCTAAAATTCAAACCACTCTTTGATTAATTGTTGCGTATCTCAAATGCTTACCTTGTGCAGAACCTGCCCCGGCTATATCTTAATCAAGCTAGAGAGAATGGTGTGCCAAAGGTTTTCCTCATCAGCAAAACCAAAATGATTGACTAAGAACTAAGTAGCCTATCTTTGTCTCGTTTTCAGGAGGAGACGCTCATAATAAATTGGCAAACACAACTTCCTTATTTATTCTCTCTTTGCAAGCCAGGGTGCGTGTTTTCTTTCCCCTTCAGGAACTGACTCACGTTTGCTTTTCCAAAAGGGCCCCGGGAAGAGATTGTCTACCTGCCTTGCATCTACCGAAACACCGGGATAAAAAAACCAGATTATTTGGCCACTGTGGACGTGGATCCCAAATCCTCAACTTACTGCCAAGTATGTTTCATTCAGTATTTGGACTCAGATCTTGAGTCCAGAGTTGGTTTGTATTAATTTTCTCTCTCCTTTTAAGCAGAAACACTTGCTTAAGGGAATCTTGGAAACAGTCTGAGCCCACTCTGGGCCTCTACATGACTCTCTTTTAACCAACCCGCAGAAAACAGGATTCTCAAGATTCGGTTCCACAAAACATTATTGGGAAGAAACTATTTTGCCCAATGCAGTAAAGGATCTCCCACCTAGCGTGGTTCTTTCTACAGAAGCGGAGAGTAAACAGTTCGCTTCTATTCACTGCGGCCTGTCGGGAAACCTGAACCCAACAGTTGCTTATCTTTGCTGCCCACAATTGCAGTTGGGGAGCATCTCCTGTCAGATCAAATGCCATCTCTTTTTCCCTTCCAAGGTCTCTGGATCAACCTGGTGGTTGCAATCTCAAAGGATTTGCCAAGGACACCGGCTGCTCAAATCTTACTCCATGGACTTTCCCTGGAGATGACATTTTTCACTGTTATTTCAGCAAACTGCCAATATCTGAAATCACGTATTCCAGATTGGCAAACCGTGCAAGCTGTTTCATAATCCCCACCTTATCTTTATGGGAGAGATAACCGGAAGTTCTACATTCTCCAAAAGTTGACCAATACTTATGGCAAAAAAAGACCAACTCTGTTCAAACAATTTAGAATCAAACGAATCAGAAACCGGCTGGTGCTCCTGCATGCTTTAGGGGCAAATAATGCAGTGTTGCGAAAGAAAAATGTCCCCAAGACATTCATCAACCCTCATGCCCCACCCCACCCTTGGCAACATGTCCCAGTTTTAACACTCCAATAAATCACATTGTTAAATCACTTGTTTGCTTCGGTAGCTGATCCAGTTCAAGTCTTGTTTCTCAGTCTAAGGGGATTACTAAAATAATTTGATGGGGGGGAGAAGAGTAAAGGGACAGACCATTGCAACTTAAATTCAGACCAGAGAGAAACCAGGACAACAAGCAAGCTTTAGAATTTAACTCCCTTCAGGCTACATCATGTGGTGGGAAGGGCAAAAGGGAGGTAAACAGAAAGAATATTTGATGAGCGTGACCAAAAGCACCAGATCATCTGGCAAAGTGGGGAGGGGTTGGTTGCAAGAGGTCTCAGGGACCGGAGGCCTCCTTTCGCTCTCCAAAGTGGATATCCTAAATGAGGAAGTGGTTGAAAGCTGAGATTTTCTGCTAATCCCACTTCAGAACAATAAGGGAGACCAAGAGCCAATCTGGGGCTCCGTAAACCGTTCCAGGCAGGGGACGGATAGCGAGCCTTTAGAGGACCTGTCCTTAAGGTCCCCAACAGGCTCTGCCACCCCGCAGGTCATCCACCGCTTGCCGATGCCCAACGTTAGCGACGAGCTCCACCACTCCGGCTGGAACGCCTGCAGCAGCTGCTTCGGAGACACGACGAAGCAGCGCAACCATCTCATTCTTCCCAGCCTGATCTCGTCCCGGGTCTATGTGATTGATACAGGCACCAGCCTGCGAGCCCCCAGGATCCATAAGGTACAAGCCTTGCTGGTGATGAGGGGTATTCTGGAACCCACAGCTATCAAAAAGGGGGGTCTGGAAAACCACCTCACTTCTCTCCCGTTTGCAAGCTTCTTTCATTCGGTACCAACAGGTCCCTTTTCTCACACTGCCCCCCACTGTCCAAAGCTGGCAAAGTGAGGGGCCGCATTTATCCACTCGTGGTCCATCTGTGCCTCACCTCTCCCCATAAACTGGCTGTTTCTTGTATTGCAGGTTATCGAGCCCATCGATATGTACTGGAAGTGCAACTTGGCCAATCCTCACACCACGCATTGCCTGGGCTCCGGTGAAATCATGATCAGCACGATGGCTGACCCTTCCGGCAATGGAAAAGGTAAGTCTTTTGGAAGAGGCTGCCCAAGGTAGTGTTTGCGGGAGGTGATCTTAGCCAGGCGAATGATAAACCTGAATTTTGCGCACCAGAGACAGGCGATCCCATTACAAGCAACCGTCTGTGTAGCAAACGAACCTGTCAGAGAGTATTTGGGTGGGAGGGATGAGATGGGGACGTCCTTACGTCTTGTCTCAACTTTATGTAATCTCTGAATGGCTCTAGGAGGAGCACCCTCTATGCAAAGAATACAGAAGGAATTGCTGATCATTTAATGCAACATTGGATGCTGTATGTCTTCCCCTTCTCCTAAACCACGGAAATCACGCAAAGATAATGTTTTGTTTTACTTTCAGGGGGTTTTGTGCTGCTGGATGGAAAGACCTTTGAGGTGAAGGGCAACTGGGAAAAGGGTTCCAAGGTCCCACCGTTCGGCTATGATTTCTGGTACCAACCGAGGCACAATGTCTTGATGAGCACTGAATGGGGAGCGCCCAAGTGCTTCGTGAATGGGTTTAACCCAGCAGATTTGGAAAAAGGTGAGAGAATGGCTTCTCGGCGTCACTCCTTCCAAGAGGCCTCCTCCTGTAGTTCCAGAGGCACCAGGTAGCCTCAGATCAAAAGCCAACCAGGCTGTTAGGTCAGGGAGGACCTGGCCATCAGGGCAATAAGTTGAAAGCATCTTCCATGATCCAAAAGATGGAGTTCTCTGTGCCAGAACGAGGATCGGAGAAGAAAGAGGCAAAGCTAGGCCAGGAATCAAGGTCTGGGGCTGCAGCTGGAAAAGGAGATGGTAGGCAAGGCAGGATCTCTTCCCACCGAGAGGCAATACTTTGGAGATACTTGGAGGAGGAGCCTTAATAGGGCCTTGCAGGCAGGGACCGGCCACAAGGCAGCCAGGAGCTGCAGAAGGGAGGAGAAGTCAATTTCTCATTGAGTCTGACTAAGTAATTAGCTGTTTGAGGATGATGTCCAGTTCACAGTTGTATGAGATCCAGAGGAAACTCAGCCACATTTTGTGTGTGTGTGTTTGTGAAATGACACAGATAGGCAAGTTTCTGAACATGGATAAAACACATATTATCTACCAGGAATGAGTGGAGAAAGAAAACTTACTACCAACCAAACCCTGCTGTCCCTCCTTTCTCAAAATAATCCTCTCTTCTCTCACACCCACCTCCGAAGGCTGCTATGGTGGAAACATCAACGTGTGGGACTGGACCACTCACGAATTCATCCAGACAATCGACGTGGGGAAGAACTCCATTCCGCTGGAAATCCGATTTCTTCACAACCCGGATGCCGCCGAGGGGTACATCGGCTGTGCCCTGAGCAGCGCTGTCCACCGTTTCTACAAGACCAAGGTAAAAAAAAAAAAGCATAATTAAAGCAGAACGAAGGGAAGAACAATCCCCGGCCCACAGCTGAGCACAAGCACACGTGCAACGCCCCAGGGCCTTGGGGGAGTGACTTGGGCCACACTCACTGAAATGTTTAGGGCCCTGAGAACTACAGGGGAGATGCTGCTAGGCAGGCAGGGCAAGCTTTTTCAATTTTCACATATTTGGAGAGCTTTTCTTTGTCCTTTGGAATGCGTTAAGGCGACCTCAAAATGCTACTTAGGAAACATCTCCTTCGAGTCCAGCTTGACTTCCTGGAGACGTCCAGGTAACTTCTTGACAGCAACAAAGGAGTCCCGTGCCTTCTCCTGGGACATAATTTTTTTTACTTGTCCATTTAGCCCGTAGCCTTAGGATTTTTGGATGGTACCCCATCCAAGCACCCAACAGACCTGACCCTACTGAGCTCAGCCAAGGTCAACTTGGTGAAGCAACTGGGCCATCCAAATTCAATCATATGATCAGGAGGAGGAGTTCCTGAGTCACAGGTTGCCAAGCCCTGATTCACAGAGACAGAAGTTGCTCCTTGGGCCCCCAAGGAGACCCCTCTCTGCACCATGGGACCCTCTTCTGAACCTGAAAGGCGTTTGCTGCAGGAGGTGTTCCCGCTGAGGTTGTGGGCTCTGCAAGCCATTTCCGCTTCTCCTGTTCTCACTAGGGTGTCCCAGCCACCATGTGCCCGATGCCTAATATTCTGGGCTGGCACGGACCTTCACCACCACCCTCACCTGACTGCTTTGCTGCCCCTCCCTTTATCAGCGCTGTTTGCTCAGCTCCTGCATCACCTTGGTGTACCCAGAGGCAAATACACGGGGCTAGAGGGCAAACTTTTTTCTCTGCATGAAATAAACCTCCCAAACAGTCGCGATCTGGAAAGTCCTTGTTGAGCCGTGCGGCTGCGAATGAGGAAACTCTGGGGGAAAAAGAAAATTCCGTGGCCACAGATTCACCCCTTCTGGTCCTCCTTGCGTCTGCGGACGTCGATTCATAAACAATGAAAAAACAATCAGATAAATATGCCTCGTTGCTTGGTTTTTACTCTGGGCTATGCTGCCCAGAGTTGTAAGATCGGGGTGGTTGATGGGCGGCATATACATTTAATAAATAAATAAAATATAATGAGTAAATCATTGAATGTCTCCGACCTGCCCCTTCGCAAGTGGTTCTCAGGCACACTCTAAAACAGAACTGCTAAGCGGACCTGAAGGCGTAAGTGAAAGGTTGGGGGCTGTTATGGGTTGGGCTATACCACACCTGCTGTCTAAATCCCTGCTGCCGAGAGTAACTCCTCGCATTCTGGCTACTTTTTTCTTCAGGAAGGAACTTGGGCAGCAGAGAAGGTGATCCAAATTCCCAATAAGAAGGTCGAAGGATGGCTTCTGCCAGAAATGCCAGGCTAGTCCAACAAGCTTTATATTGATCATTTTTGCAATCTATCCATGTTGCACCCCCCCCCACTTTAAAACACCACCATCTGCCCCCAAAATATAAACTCCTCTTCTGGCTTAAATACAAACTTTCAGTATCTCATCTCTGAGCCAAGAGGGGTTCTCATTCTTTAATTTAATCATTCATTATGTGATTCGGGGAATGCCATGAACTTGGCAAGATCCCATGTTCATTACGTGGGAAGGAGTCTGTGGTGGTGGCTGGTCAGAAGAAATACCGACTAGCTGTGCAAAGGCGTGCCATAAAGTCACGGCCAGGATGTTGCCGTCGTATCCTTGCAAATCTGCTGCCGGCCCCATCAGGAACTCATGGAGCAAGCGTTCTGCCTCCTTCTAATCCAATTCTCTCCTGTAGGCCTCATCACCGATATCCTGATCTCCCTCGATGACCGCTTCCTGTATTTCAGTAACTGGCTCCATGGAGACATCCGCCAGTATGACATTTCCAACCGTCGGAAGCCCAAGCTGGTGGGACAGGTAAGCACCAAGGTGGGCGCATCACTGCTGGGGGCTGCCGACTCTGCAGGTAACGTGGGACGTCCTCAGCCAGGTGTTTCCCTTTGCAGGTGTTCCTGGGAGGCAGCGTTGTCAAAGGGGGTCCCGTCAGAGTGACTGAAGACGCAGAACTGGACTGCCAGCCGGATCCATTCATCATCAAGGTGCCTCAGGAGGCCCTTCCCTCCTCCAGATTATTTTTATTCAGTTTTTATTTGTTGGGTCCCTGCCTTAGCTTTCTTCCAAAGGACGCCTCTTTCTCCATCCATTCCGTTTTTGCAATTTGGCAAGGGACGTCAAGTTCCGCAGCAAATTTCGCCGCCAAACTGTCTCCTTTATCTCACGCTCCCTGCATGCGCCTCTTTGCACAGCCAGTTCTGTTATAAACAGCGGCTGTATTTAGACACAGTGGGGCTGCCTTATCCAAACTCTGTGGGACCACCCTGAGCTCCACAGAATATCTAACTCTGCAAACTCCTTGATCAATGAGCAGAGACATTAAAACGTTTCTCCTGCCTATGAACTGGAGGATCCTCAATCCAAGGGTTGTAAGAGAGGGAAAATAGTCAGAAGTCCCAAGGAGTTCACTAAGACTAAGCGTGCCCAATCATTCTTCCCCCATTCATTTAAAATGTCTCTGCTGGAAGAGATCAAAGTCAGCTTTGCTTCCCAGAACAGCTAACTGGAAAGCTTTAACAGGCCAGGCCCGTAAGGAGATCCTAAAATCCTGTTTGCTACCTCTTCCCAAATATTTGCGGCTGGAAACACCCCACTCATTCTGTGACAGTGTCCAATTTGGCAGTGAGTTAACGGTGCCCAACGGGAAGACAGGGTCTCTCTGACCTGCCTCTTGCTCATGAGGCTGAGCGAGAGAGAGGGCCAAGCAGCTCGCTCTCCTTTGGGGTTCAAAAACACCTCCCACTGCCTCTTGCACAAGTCATCCCAAGTTAGGTCATGCCGGTTTCCTCGTCCTTTGCAGGGCAAGAGAGTTCAAGGTGCACCACAGATGATCCAGCTGAGCCTGGATGGAAAAAGGCTGTACGTCAGCACCTCCCTCTACAGCGGATGGGATAAGCAGTTCTACCCAGACATGGTCAAGTAAGACGGCCTTTCCTTCACGTGGACCTTTCCTTCTTCAAAACCCTTTGCTTACTAGAAACAAGAACAAAACTGGGCCTTGAGACAATTTCCTCGGAAGATCTGCAGGCAGAAAGGAATTTGAAAGGGATGGGTTGTAACTTTCAAAGGTTGCTAGGATAGTTAGGCCCCAATTCACCATAACATGAAATTTTAAATAAACGTAAAAGGCATTTTCCCCTTCAGCCGGGGGAGTTACGTTTGTATACCTGTAGCGTAGACTTTTAGAGAAGAGAGAGTCCGTCGATCTTCAAGTTTTGTAACGGCGTCACCAAAACACATGGTAAAACCCTCTTTTACCCTCTTTTTTTCAGGGAAGGCTCCGTCATGTTACAAGTCGACGTGGACACCCAGAAAGGCGGCTTAAAAGTAAATGAAAAGTTCTTAGTGGATTTTGGGAAAGAGCCGGAGGGTCCCGCTCTCGCCCACGAGATCCGTTATCCGGGTGGCGACACCACCTCCGATATCTGGCTCTAACAATCTCCCCGGCTTCGAGGGCACCGGAGTACACCAAACGTGGACTTTTCCTCTAACTCCAGCCATTTAAATTGATGCAAGAGAAGCCTTTAACCACCCTGAGCTTTCTGTTCTTTCCGCTGCTTGGCACTTGATCTCGCACTCCTAATGAAGGCTTAAAAATTAACCTATCATACCGAGACTCATCGCGTCTTTTTAAAAAACACTCTCTGCAGATCACGCTCACAAGAAAGGGTTTGGAATCGCTTTTTCCTTGAGAGTTAGTTTCTTGCCCGCCTCTGGACATGCCCTGCTCTGCCACAAGGGGTCGCACGCCGACTGTGCCAAAGCACGGCGGTTACCTTCCTGTGGCACAGCATGGACCCAGGACTTTAAGCACCTCCGCATTCCCAGTTCGACTCCACTTTAACTATTTCATAATCTGGGAATTGCACATTTTTATTTAAAAGTTCTGGAAGGAAACATTTTAAGCCATTACTGTTCCCACAATGTTCTCAGGGGAAGGCACAGGAGCATAAAAACCCCGTTTTTCTGTTTTAACAATTCTGTACCCAAGACATCCCTTGAGATGCTACGGGATTGAAAAAGCAAATGATCCGATCACTTGTGTATCTGGGGTAGAGCTACAGCCACCAAAAAAACCCAAAACAGTAATACAAACTCATCCCCTGTTTCTTTGGCACGTGTCAGATCCTTTGATTCAGAAATCACGGAATACAGGTTTGTTGGTAATTTCATAAAACAATATATAGCCATTTTTGGAACTGCTCAGCGTTACTCCCAGCAACATGCTTCAGAAATGACCAGAATAATATATTTCTTATCTTTGCTGTTGTTTTTGACCCTTTTTAAAAAATAAAAAAAAAATAAAAAGAAACTTCTCAGTGCCAAGCTGTTTCTCCCTGGCCCAAATTTCTTTTCTTCGATCTCCACCCGAGCAGAAAATGGCGTGGTAACAGCTAATAGCCACCAGCCATCAAAAGTCATCAACGGTCACACCTTCAGTTAAGCGCAGGTGGCAAAGGAGGAGAAGGGACTGTTTCTCATGAAATCTGCCAGTTCGTGAAACCTGAATGTCTGTAGCCCGGGGCTCCGAGGGTTGGGACTTTCATTTTAAACTCTGAAATCTCTAGCACCTTAATCTGCAGAGAACAGAATCGGCAGTAATTTCCCTCCCAGCCCTTAGCAAGCCTTTCTTTGATAAAGCGACTGAACTTTGGAATGCGCGAGGCTACGCTTTGCGCTGAAAAGCATCTCGTGCCACACCTCTCGCCCAGGTAGGCTCCCTCCCCAGAACCGACTCAAACCTTCCACAGTCCAGGCCACAGAACGTGAGGGCTGGAAAGGGCCTTGGCGATCCTGCCATCTAACGCCCTCATCTGGTTCAGGAATGCAAATGGTACAGTCCCGTCCTCGCCCTCATTCGGGACCGTGCCACCTCAAGGTCCTACAGAGGTTGGTGGCCGGAGCTCCATATTCTATCGAAAGCCACGGGAGGGAGGGCAGAAACCTGAACCGCCGATGAGGAGCAGAAGGGGGGCAAGGATGCTGAAGAAGTTGTAAACCTCCAGCTGAGGAGGGAGCGCTGGAAGAAAGAGCTTGAGAGGGGGAAGATGGGAGGCGAGACCCGGTTAATCACTCCTGGAATTCCAACGCTGGAGTCATCAAAGGAGATTAATTGGCTGGCAGTCCACAACAGGAAGAACTTAGCAGGCGTAATTTGCAGGAGGAATGTGCAGGACTGAAGTGATGGACATTTAAAAGGGATTAGGTGAACCAACAAACAAGGGACGGGCTGGAGGATGATTTCCTATCTCAGGTTGGAAAGCATTGGGTTGGTCAACGCAGGTCTGAACTAGCAAGACCGAGTTTACTTTTGTCGCTCTCTCCTCTCGGACCCCTAAGCAAAGCCCACCGGCTTTTACAAACCTCTCCGCGCAAGACGTACGTCTCTTTTGACCTTCTCTTAGAGAGCGGCAACCTCCGCTTACCAAGTGCATTTTGAAGCCGAACAGGCCCAGATGCCGAAATACAGGGTTAGTTCTTCAAGCAAGACTGGCATTCCCAAGAATTAGCAGCATAAATTTCGACCCACCGGCATCAAGCCGAGACATCTGTCTTCTTCTGCTGGCCGTGCTCCAACTCCCCCGCTCGTCCCATCCCGAGGTAGTGACAGCCCAACCCAGATGCAGAGCCCATCCTAGCCGGAACGGAGCCAATGATCCCCAACTACGGGGAGCCGCTCTTTTCTCCCCAAATGAAAACGCTGAGCTCCTGAAAAGAAGCCGAGCTGCAGGGCAGATCTCCAATTTTCTCAGTTTCATGCCCACACGCCGCTTTTCCAACTTGACTTTCTAGAACGGCAAGTCTCTCCCTTGTCTTTCCTTTCCCTCTCCCTGGTACGACTTCAAAATGCTGCAGTAAGGTCTAAATTACCACGACTGAAGGGAAAAGAAGGTGTCTGGGCTAGGACCGCGCCCACAACACTGGTTGGACCCGCGCTCTGAGCCAACAAGCCTTCTTGGAATTTGGAGAAGAAACCTGCCGAGACGTCCAATTCTAGCTTCTCCAGACTGCAAGCCAGCTCAAAAACCTTTGCTTTACCCCAAGGGGCAACTAACGTGCAGGCAGGCCTCCATTCCTTTTGCCAAGCCCTCCAGATCGTGAAACCATCCCCAAAGTACGCCGCTTCTGTTTTTCACAGCCTTCCCTCCCTTTCTACGAAACAAAGCAGCAGCTAGATCAGCTAAGCCCCAGAGAGGTTATATTTTATTTTAACGGGGTCGCTACCAACCCAAGCCCAATTACCTGCTGATATCAACGCCACCTTCCCATTTCTTCGTCTCCCACCAGAGCTGCAAACAAGGCTACCTGGCCAATTTAAGCCTTCGTCTGCTTGATTTTTTTTTTTACACGTCGGAATCGTTCTCCCCAATATCTCATCTCCCCCTACAACTCTCCCCAAAAGCACTCTAGAGTTGCAAAGCGTTTTTCAGCGAGATCAGGTAGGGAATTAATAGAGGGGAAAGGTGATGTTTGGGGGGATGGAGAAAGACCATCCCCACAGCGGCTCACTTGGGGGTCGACACTAACTTTTTGTGATGTTAGAGAACGAGTCTTCACAGACGAATCTCTGCACCTTTAAACTCTCTTTTATTCAGTGCTTGTCACCTGAGCCTCGTATAAAAGATATGAAATGTCCAATCACATCTGTCTGCACAGATGATTCACTGGAATTGTGCTTTCCTCCTGTGGGGTTCCTGGGCCCGGGGAAAAGGAGCAAAATAATAAGGAAGCCGATAATCTGCGTTCTGTCTCCGCTGAGGGTGCGTCCACAGACTTAATACGGCTGTGCCCATCTGGGTTCAAGGGACCACGTGGGGTCGGAGTGCTGGCCGGCACAGCCCAGCATCTTTCAGCACCATGCACACCGGTTTAGTTTTAGGCGTTGCCAACAGGCTATTCTCAATGCGCGCCAAATGGCCCCTTGAGTCTGGATCTTCAGAACTGAGGGCAGGAAGCTACGAAACCGAGAGAAGCGATGGGGGTTCAGATAAGCCGCTCGGAGTTAATTAAAAGCGTGTGGGAAGGAGGAGATAAAGCAGATAGAGGGGGGCCTTCGGCTCTGAACAGCCCCGAAGGGCGCGGAATCGGCTGGCTGGGCATCTCTGGTGGGAGATGAAGGGAGGGAGGGCTGTTTGCCCCTCCGGGGTTTCGGGAATCAGCTGTTTCCTTCACGGTCCCTTCCGGACACCACGCCTCCCGGGTACACCCACTGGGGACGGAGCGAGACTCGCCACGGCTCTCGCGGGGTATTTAAACCGGCCGCAAGCAAGCCGGGGAATGTCAGGTGCGCAAGCCCAGGCAGGGCAGAGCAGAGAGAGAGGGAGAGCGAGAGAGAGAGAGATGTCCCAACACCAGACAAGAGATGCCGAGGAGGAATCTCTGAAGATGCCGAGCAAAGGTAGGAACTCAGCCCCTCTCTCGCCTCCAGGACATCTGACTTTTCCCCCAGCCTTCCTTCAAAGACCCACGTCTCCCTGGCAGGGATGGGGCTGTGCCCCACAAATCTACCGCATCAGCTAAGGACAGCATCTTAGAGCGGGCAACCTTTTCAACAGAGATGAAGCCCCCCTTCTCCAATCTCTCATGTTCGCCTGCCCCCAGGACCACTTTGACTTCTGGGGACAAGGGGGTTCCTGCACCCTCTAGATTCCCATTGTTACCATCCTCCACTTCCTGACTCCTTAACTTGCAACACAACTGAGCTTCCATATTCCTATTCCACATCTTTTTATCACACTCCTCAGCCACAGGCTTCTAGCAATCAATATTTGCACAGGCCCCAGGCTTACAGTCTACAAAACAAGACACAAGCTGAGCATGGCATGGCATGGCATGGCATGGCATGGCATGGCATGGCATGGCATGGCATGGCATGGCATGGCAT